TGAATGGTCAGGTTTTCTCTCATTATTCATTTTAAAATTGGCTTTCGAAAAATACGTTGTGCACAAATGAGAATATTCGTCTCTGATAGTGATGTTAGCTGCACCGGGTTGAAAAAGTAACCTCCTGCGAACAACGATCATACAACCAGGGTGAAGGGTTGTTGATTGTTTCTCATAAGTATATTCAAACACGATAAGAGACACGTAATTTCCTGCAGCCTTTAGTTGATTAAAATGTAGTATTTTGTGAACTAAGGTGGTTGAAGTGCAAACCCTATCGTCTTGGCCAATGATTCAGTTTGCGCGATCTGCTGTGAAACTCAGGGGACTCTTAAATGCATCAGACGTGTTAATGAAATTGCACCAAAACCCTTTTCTGTGATTATGATGTGTTCAAGATCGTCACGAATGTTGATTTGAATTTCTAAATGTTGCGATCAATCCTGGTGGTGAAGAGTTAGCAGATATATGCTGAACAACATACGGTTTATCGGGTTTACAAAGTGAAAGTCCTCTGACTGAATCTCAAACCGAAAGTTCTTCAATGGAAGTTGTACCGCTGTGAAATAGTGCTCCAGTCTGTGTCTACCATGAAGGAGTACTTCGTACAACCATGGATAAAACAGTGCATTTGCTGTCAGCTTTCACAGCTGACGATGTCAAGGATCGAGTTTTAGAACTTCCTGCTAACGATGCCGATTAGAATAAAATCGGCAATTTATTTACAGTGATTGAAGTGGAAGGCATCTCATTTTTCTCAGGTAAAAGAAAATTCCACGCGGATGTGATCTTGAATGTAGGATATGGAATGACCCAGAAATAAACAATATCTGGGTAAATTAAACAACATATACACAAGATCAAACGATTTGAAAGCTAGAATGAATAATCACTTGTGAAGGTATGCACAACTTGAAGGCCCAGTCGGTACTATTGCCCACTGATAGCGCATACTGAAACGTTATCGTAGAACTTTCTTGATTCTACAAAGTTGTCAGTGGGCTGCCTACATGGTGGGCATTGGAGTCTAAATTGTGAAGTGTGCTGGTGCACTAGATGAGAAATCACCATCGCGAATTCGGTGGACTATATGCTAACCAGACAGTGAAAATTTCTGAAAAATGGCAAACACATTTTCAAAATCGTGCATGATCAGTGTGTTCTGAGCAATGCTATTGCTAGTTCAATGCATAAACTTTGTTCCATTATCCCTCAGAGACTCATATTCCACCGTTGTTGTGGCCCATTTGGGGTGGCATAAATATGGTTGCGTCTGCATTCTGACGATATGTGTTCATCGCATACAGAAAGACCAAAACGGTTATTGATTAAAACCCCGTGCACTACTTAATGGATGTCATAAACATACATATATGCGGTTCTGGTTAAGTGCTCTCATGTTAGAGCACAACATGTTAATCTGACAGCTGCATGCATCAGTTCCGAAAACCTCTGTAGTGTGCCCTTACAGAGAGATTATCCAATGAAGATATGGTGTCAGAAACAGGACAATCTTGCATCCAGTAGACCAAAAACCGTTGCGAAAACTTGATTCTGTTGAAATGCATTTCCTTCTCGAATCTTTCAAACAAAAGCCAAGGACAGTTGAATTAGGCTGAATGAATTCGACGGGTGCTTAGCAAATCACACAAAAGAAGCATTTGAAGGGATACTTTTTGATAAACCATAAGTTCGTCTGCACGCGGCGCTCGAAAATTAGCTCAGCTAGGGCCTCATTTCTATCTCGATGACGTGCATTTCGGTACCTTAAATGAGCCCTCTCCCAAATGTTCTGGACAAACAGACTGCCTGAGCTATTTCTTTTACAGTTGTATCGAAACTTTATACTATTCAAATTCATCCTGGATTGCTGGGTGTGGTGCATGGATGTTGTACTTCGTTAGGTTCTTGATATGCCTGAAAATCACGGCAGATTGAATCAGAGTTATCAGATGCGGTAACCACTGAGTGAAAGACACGGTCGTCCTCGCGCACGACTCTGGTCATATGTTGCAGAAGCAAGTGAGCACAGGGCAGTTCTGGTGAGCAGGGTGTAAACTAAAGGGATCCATGAAATAAATCGAAAGTGTACAGGGTAGCATTGGATGAACTATGGGTTGAATGGGTGAACTAAACGGTTTTGAGCTCTCAGCTGACAGGTGTTAAAGTTCACAATCACGAGCGAATTTCTATAAAGAGTTTGACACACCCGGCCACCAGAATCACAGTTCTGCCTTCTGTTTGGACCATACGATTTCGGGGTGGTAAGGGACGATTTAAGAACAGTTCTTTGAGGAACCACCGGTTTCATGTCACGCATATGACATCCAACGACTACGGACGGTTCACGAAACAAAACGTAGGACTGACAAATGAAGCTATCTATTTTATTTGTATAGGACCATCCCTTCAGAAATCACTTTATTGATATTTAGTGAACAATCGTCAACGATAGTCTCCTGAAGTTCCTTTCTGGTGATGGCGGAAATACCCTCGAGTG